CGAGGAGGAGCACAGCCCTGGGTCCGGCCGCCGCGTGCCTTCGCCTCCGCTGCTGTCGCCTGGCAGGTAAGGGGGCGCCGGTGGGGGCGGGCAGGTCGAGCAGCTGGTGGCTGAGGCCTGGGCTGCACTGGGGAGGCGCACAGGGAGGGCTGTGTAGGTGAGGCCTGGGCCTCATGGCCCATTAGGCCCCTGAAGCGGGTCCGGGGCCGCCACCCTGGTTTGTGGTGCATCGCCCCTGCCATCAATAATCACTGAACCCTGGTGTCTTCATCGCAGCTCGCACGTGGCTTTGGGAAAACGGGAGCAGCCCCGGGAGGTGGGAGGGCACCGAAGTGACCTTGGAGCACCTCTGACCGGTCCTCAGGCCATGGCCTTCCTGCTTAGGTGGACCTGCCTGGCGGTGGCAGGCCGCCCTGGGCCCTCCAGGTTGGAATAATGGGCGAGGCCCGGGGCTTTTGGGAAGTTGTCGGCCTGCCCCCGAGATCGAAATGTTTTGGCAACTGTGGGTTTAGTTAGTCTTTGGAAGAATCTCCAAACTGTCTTTCACAGTGGCTATGCCAAACTACAGTGCCACCAGCACTGTAGGAGGGTCCCCTTCTGTCCACAGCCTACCAGTGTTTCTCCTTTGTGGACTTCTGTTGAATGATGGGCTTTCTGACTGCGTGTGTGAGGTAATGCCTCGTTGTAGTGTTGACTTGGCGTTTGTCTGATAAGGAGAGATAGTGAGCATTTTGTTCGTGTGCCCGTTGGCCGTTTGTATGTCTTCATTGGAGAAATGCGTGTTCAGGTCTTCTGCCCGTGTTTGGATTGGGGTGTGTGTTGTTCGGTTACTAAGTTGTATGCCCTGATTACGTAGTCTGGAAATGAAGCCTTTGTCAGTCGAATCGTTTGCAGGTATTTTCGCCCTTTCAGTAGGTTGTCCTTTTGGTTTCCTCATGGTTCCCTGTGCTGTGCGGAAGCCTGGGAGCTCAGCTAGGTCCCGTGTGTGTGTGTGCTTGTGCTTTTCCTTCTGGTGCTGGGGTAGAGTGCCCTAGGAGATCGTTGCTGAGATGTATGTGAGGTAATGTGTTGCCTGTGTGTTGTTTGAAGAGATTTATAGATTCCGGTCTTCCGTTCGAGTCTTTAAGGCATTCTGAGTTTATTTCTGTGTACGGTGTTAGGCAGTCATCTAGCTTCATTGATTTCCACGCAGCTGTCCAGTTTTCCCTACAGCCTTTGCTGAAGAGACTGCGTTGCCTCCATGGTATGTTCTTTTCTCCTTTGTCAGAGATTAATTGGCGAAAAGTTTGCGGGTTTATTTCTGGGCTCTGATTTCTGTCCCACTGATCCATATGTCCGTTTTCGTAGGAATCCCATGCTGTTTTGATCATAGGTCTGTAGTACTGTCTGAATTCTGGGTGGCTTATTTCTCCAGCTTTGTTCTTTTTCTTTAGTAACGCTGGGAATGAATAGGGGACTTGGGATGTAGTTCTTTCCCTTTGTCTCCTTATTTGTAGAGTGGAAAGTTCCATGATGACTTAAAATTGTGTAATGTTTTAGTTCCTGTGCCCATTTTGCAGATGAAGAAACGGAGGCTCAGAGAGGTCAAGTGAATTGTGCAGTGTCACACAGCCAGGCCGGGGTCTTCCAGAGCTCAAACACGCTGTGGGTTGTGGAGCTCTGTTGCTATGTTGCTTTCCTGGGAAAGAGGCTGGGAAGGTGTGACATGAGGTAGGAATAGCTGATGGCGCTGGTTTCTTCCTTGTGCCAGGCGACGAGCTGCCCTGTGCCATGAGGATCCCATCGGACAAGCAGGACAAGCTTCACGGCTGCCTGGAGCATCTCTCCAACCAGGTAGGACCTGTGTCCCAACCCTGGCCTGACCTTGAGTTCTTCCCATCCCCTCTGTGAGAACCCACAAGCCAGGAGCCATGGCAGGTACCGCGGGACCCTGGGGGGCCAGACTGACCAGAGCTTCGTACGGACCAGGGGGATTCCATCCGCACACTCGTCAAGGGGCTGGTCATGAGCAAGGCTTCTGAAGAGACCAAGGATTTCCCCATGGGCCCCAGCTCACAAGGTGAGCAGAGAAGCTTTCCCAGGCAGGGCTAGGGGTGGCATCTGGACCAAAGAAGGGAAATAACGTGGTAAGTGTCCTACCAGTTCATAGTACCTTCTGTGGACCAAGTAATACCCACGAGTCCTGGCAGCATCCTTGGTCTAGGATTGTGAGCTTTGGGATCTAGCGTCGGACCTTTGTGCCACCATTTTCCAAAGCTCCCTAAGTGTCCCTTTGCTGCCCTCACGTCACTTAGAAAGAGGTGTGTACACTCTGTGGCCGGAGCTTGATCCAGGTCAGCACCCAGGAGGCCCCCTGGAACATCGCGAGTTCCGTCGAGACCCTGGTGGACAACATTCAGAGACAAATGGAAGTCAGTTGGGCAGGGAAGGGTGTGACGTGGAGGTTTTGTGGCCTTTGGCACTTAACGTGGAACATAGTAGGATCCAGAATGGGTTCATCCCCAGGTTCCATGTCCCTGCATGCCCAGATAGGGGACAGGAAGAGTGAGGACCCCTTTCTCAGCTGTGTCAGGGCCCTGGGACCGGAAACCGCTGATTTTGGGTGCCTGGGGCTTCCTCCCAGTCAGGAGGCGGAGAACACTGAACTTACCCGTTTTCTGCTTCCAAGATTGTGGATTTAGTTCAGTTCCTTTTGTTTATTATCAAGGTTACAAGTTGAGGTGGGGAGGGGGGCCCTAATCAGACTTGGGCTCACAGATAGGTTTTGAGGTAACAGCATTTCACAATGTCAATCTGCTGCCAGCATTTATAACCCAAGATGCCATATAAAGGTCTCAACTTCTGATTAGTCTTGAACAAGCAGAAGATGTGGCAATGACAGGCATGTAATTCACACTTGCCTTTAGATTAGTGGTGGCTGCCATCTATAGTGGGGGGGAGTATCTTCCAGTTCACGCAGTCCCCACCCCACCCTGTAGCCCGGGGTCTGGTTCGTGCATCTTAAGTTATCTACCTGGCTCTTGGCAGATTTGTGTCTGGGACTACAGGGCAGGGAGGCGTTTGTGCAGGACAGCAGGAGGTGCTAGGCCGTAGGGCTGTGACCCCAGGAATGGCACCCTCTGAGTTGGAAGTCTGGGTTGGCTCTGATCCTGTCCTGTTTTCCAAAACTGTAAGTGGTTGAGAGCATTGAGCCTTGAGCCAGATGGCCAGTGCTCGAACCCCAGGAATCCAACTTACTGGCTGTGTGATCTTGGGAAGTTCCTTGATTTGTCTGTGCCTCAGTCTGTTCATGTGTAAAATGGATTCATAGTGTTACCAAGTCAAAGCTTGTTCTGCTCGGTGCACAGTAGGCCAGTAATTCAGGAGGTGTAAGGTGTTAGGACAAGGAATAGTGACTTTATTCGGCAAGCTGGCAGACCGAGAGGATGGCAGGCTAATGTCTTGGGAACCGTTCTGCTCCATTTAGAATACAGGCTCCCTTCCTACAAAATAATGGGAGGGGGGTGTGGTTGGTTGTCACAAACTTCATGCTATAGGAATTGTTTGTTTTTGCAGCCCTCAGTGTGGATCAGGCCATGGTGTCTCTGTAAACCTCCAACAAAAGAAAGGTTAGTTTCTCTATTGCAACTTTTTATCTTTGTTTCAGTGCAGACGTGTCAATATCCTTAAAGGGCAGAGACCCATGAATAGGCTCTCCTGTTTGTTTCAGGCTAAAGGCAACTGTTGCATAAAAGGAGCAGAGCCAGCAAGAAGCCTAGAAAACAGGGCGCAGTGGTTAAAACTTAAAGGAACAGATCCAGTATAGAGTCAGATCTGTTCTCCTCTATTGCAATTGGGCTACCTCAGTCTTTTCCTTTAAAGTGAAAATTTTATGTGTGTGCCTTTTATTTCCCTTCCTACTTTAATAGCATAAAGGATGTCCCCTTATATGAGTTTCATGGTTTGGGCCTTGACATTTAGGCTTTTAATGTATCGGATGTATTTTTGTAAAGAGATCAAGAGAAGGATTGTATTTTTCCCATGTGGATGACTGATGGTCGATGTATGATTTTATTGTCCTTTCTTCACTTATTTTTCAATTTTATTTTATTGAGTTATAGTCAGTTTACAATGTTGTGTCAATTTCCAGTGTAGAGCACAATTTTTCAGTTATACATGAACATACATATGGTCATTGTTGCATACTCTTTCAACATCAGCCACCACAAGATCTTGCATATATTTCCCAGTGCTATACGGTATAATCTTGTTACCTATTCTTTATATACCTGTCAGTATCTGTAAGTTCAGAGCTCCCAGTTCATCCTCTCCCACTCCCATCCAATCTGGTTTACACAAGTTTGTACTCTATGACTATGAGTCTGTTTCTATGTTGCATTTATGCTCATTTGTCCTTGTCTTTTCTCTTGTTGTCTTTCTTTTGTTTCTTTCTCTCATTTATTTTTTGTTTTCTTTGTTCCGTGTATTGTGGGTCTGATCCGGGATCAGGCCTGGCTGGGGGGTGCGAGGGCCATGACAGGGCTGGGGGGTTTGTGTGGCGGCGAGCGTGGGGAGTGGGACTTTGGGGTGTGTGGCCTCGCCCTGGAAGGGTAGTGGTTCTAAAAGGGTGCCGGGACCAGGTTGGGGTCGGAGACATGGGCAGCCAATCCTGGGCAATGGGGCGGGGCAGCCCCACCTCCCCACCGTCGCACTGCGGAGCCCCACATAGCCTGGCTCGGCCCCACTCGTAGCGTCCTGCAGCTCAGGAGCCCCAGCCGCAGCGTCTGCTGTACCCGCAGGAGGAGCTGAGGGCACCGCACCCACGGATACACACTTGTGGACGGACGCAGGAGCCCGCCCAGAGCGTGTGGAAGCTGAGCCGGAGACGGGTGCTCCTGGGCCGGCTCCCCGAGGAAGAACATGGCTTTGGGTCCGGGCCACCGCGTGCCTTCGCCTCTGCTGCTGTCGCCTGGCAGGTAAGGGGGCGCTGGTCGGGGCGCCCATGTCGGGTAGCTCGTGATTGAGGCCTTGGCTGCACTGGGGAGGTGGAAAGGGAGAGCTGGGTAGGTGAGGCCTGGGCCATGATACTATATAGAATGTTGGACTAGGTTGAAGAATAGAGGTATGTTCAGGGTTAGGGATACGTTTACAGTTCGGCCTAGTTTCTGTGTGAGGCTTAGGTTCGGTCTTACGCGATTTTCAGGGTTACAGCTTCGCATGCTGTGACATGTAAGTATTGGAAAAATACATGTACCTGAGACATGATGTTGTTTTTAGTAGTAGTATTGTACTCAAGGACTTTCAGCTTCTGTGGTGTGCGGTCAGGGAGTAGTTTAATAAGAATTCTAGGTTTGGGTGCTGGTGGTGGGGCTTTGGCCTCTTTCCTGTGTCTTAAGGAGGACATGGTCCTCCTTTAATGGTTTACAAGACCAGCGTAATCAATATGCTACAACGACTCTTCACTTTAGGAGGCGGTTCTCAATGATTCCTGCTTCTGGCATTTAAAATTAAGATTAAGGAGAAGTACAGGGTAGATGCTACTTGGCTAATCGTAATGAAAGGGGGCTCAACAGGTTGTCCTCTAATTCAGGTCAAGGTTAATAGGTCAGCCAGTAGGATTCAGAATAAGCACTGGCTGATGGGGCGGAATATTATACTTCGTTGTTTTGATGTGTGTAGTACTGGGATTAGTGCTAGAACTAGGATTGAGAGTACTAGGGCCAAGACACCCCCTGGTTTATTAGGAATTGACCGTAAGATGGCGTATGTGAATAAAAAATACTGTTCTGGCTTAATATGCAGCAGTGTGTTGAGGGGGTTGGCTGGGGTATAATTTTCGGGGTCTCCTAATAGGTCTGGTGAGAATAGTACGAGGATAAGTCGGGCTAGGACTAGCAGTAAGACACCGAAAATGTCTTTAATTGTATAGTATGGGTGGAACGGGATTTTGTCTGTATCTGAGGAGAATCCAGTCGGGTTATTAGAGCCCGTTTCGTGTAGAAATAATAGGTGTACTCCTTCCAAGGCTGTGGTGATGAAGGGCAGAATAAAGTGGAAGGCAAAGAATCGTGTTAGAGTGGCTTTGTCTACAGAGAAGCCCCCTCAAATTCACTCTACCAGTGTTGTGCCGATGTGTGGGATTGCTGGAAGTAGGTTGGTGATTACTGTTGCTCCTCAAAATGAATTTGTCCTCAGGGGAGGACATAGCCTATGAAGGCTGTTGCTATTACCGCAAATAACAAGATAATTCCGATATTTCAAGTTTCTAGGAAAGCATATGAGCCATAGTAAAGCCCTCGGCCTACGTGAATATATAAGCAAAGAAAGAATATAGAGGCCCCGTTAGCATGTAGGTACCGGATGATTCAGCCATAATTTATGTCTCGGCAAATATGTGGAACTGAAGAAAAGGCGGTTGCTGTGTCTGATGTATAGTTTATCGCTAGGAAGAGTCCCGTTAGGATTTGCATGATGAGGCAGACTCCTAGTAAGGGGCCAAAGTTTCATCAGGATGCAATATTGGAGGGGGCTGGGAGATCAATGACTGCGTTGTTGATAATTTTCAGTAGCGGGTGTGATTTTCGGATGTTGGTCATTAGGGTTCTTGTAGTTAAATTACAACGATGATTTTTCATGTCATTAGTTGTGGTTTGAGTCCATGGTAGGAATATATGATGACATACATTGTATTTATTCTGAGTATTATTTTTGTGACTGGCTTTGTTAGTTTTTCTTCTAAGCCTTCTCCGATTTATGGGGGAGTAGGGTTAATTGTAAGTGATGGGGTGAGTTGTGGCATTGTATTAAGTTTTGGGGGGGTCTTTCTTAGGTCTAATAGTAGTTTTGATTTATTTGGGAGGGATACTAGTGGTATTTGGCTATACTACAGCCATAGCTATGGAGCAGTACCCTGAAGTCTGGGCCTCTAATAAAACAGTGTTTAGGGGTTTTGTCTTTGGTTTAATGGTGGAAATAGTTACGGTCATTTATGTACTAAAAGGAGGGGAGGTGGCAGTTGTTTTTAAGTTGAATGAGCTAGGGGACTGAGTTATTTATGATGCAGGGGATTCTGGGTTTTTTAGTGAGGAGGCAATGGGGATTGCCGCTCTGTACAGTTATGATACTTGATTGCTGATTGTTACTGGTTGATCCCTGTTTGTTGTGTGGTTGTTATTATAGAGATTATGTGGGGTAATTAAACAGGGCTATGATCAGGGCCAGGGTAATAAATGAGAGGAAGTGTAGCTTAATGAGTCCTTTGTGGTCAGATACTAGTGTAGAAGCCTTCACTGGTATGAGGGAAATAGTTTTTGGCAGGACAGCCTATAGTCAGACTAGGTCTAGTGGTAGGGATGCTGATTTTTGGCTTATCGAGAGGTTTAGGTAGGGAATCAGTCAGTGTATGAGAATAGGGAAGAAACCCAGGAGGTTGGAGAATTTAAATACCTTTGAGGGCTGGGTAAATTTTAGGTTCTGTGTTACGATATTAATGTCTATTGCTAGGACGAAGCCTGAGATTGTCACTGCAAGGGCGGTTAATTTTAGGTGGGGGGGCATTGTTATTTGGGGAATTGTCATGGGGGGAATATTGTTGGACATAAAGAATCCAGCAAAGATGCTCCCAATCAGTAGACGTTTGATGGAGTTAATAAGGAGGGGATTATTTTCGTTAATTAGAACTAATGCAGGAAAGTGGGGTTGACCTAAGAGGGCATATAAGATGATGCGAGTGCTATAGACAGCTGTAAGGGATGTGGCAATCAGAGTAGTAGTAAGAAGGGCTCAGGCGTTGGTATACGACGTGTTGGGAGCCTCAATAATTATGTCCTTGAAGTAGAATCCTGTGAGGCACGGGATTCTGGTTAGGGCCAGGCTGCCAACAATGAGGGCTGTGGTGGCGAAAGGTATGGCTTTGAAGAGACCCCCTATTTTTCGAATGTCTTGTTCGTCATTCAGGCTGTGAATGATGGAGCCCAAGCACATGAATGGTATGGCCTTGAAAAAAGCATGTGTGCAGATGTGTAGAAATGCCAGGTGGGGTTGATTTAATGCCATTTGTTACTATCATGAGACCCAGCTGGCTTGAGGTGGAAAAGGCGACAATCTTCTTAATGTCATTTTGTGTCAGTGCACAAATTGCTGTGAATAGTGTGGTGATTGCACCTAGGCATAGTGTCATAGTTTTAATTGTTTTGTTGTTTTCTATTAGGGGGTAAAATCGAATGAGTAGGAAAACCCCTGCTACAACTATCGTGCTTGAGTGTAGTAGGGCAGATACAGGAGTGGGGCCTCCTATTGCAGAGGGTAATCAGGGGTGTAGGCCAAATTGGGCAGATTTTCCAGCCGCAGCTAGAAGAAGGCCCATTAGTGGCATATTGGGGTGGCCCTGTTTAAGCATAAAGATTTGTTGAAGTTCTCATGTGTTTGGATTAGTTAGGAACCAGGCCATGGATGCTACAAATCCAATATCCCCAATGCTTTTGTATAGGATTGCTTGCAAGGCTGCTGTGTTTGCGTCTGCTTGGCCATGTCATCATCCAGTTAATAAGAAAGATATAATTCTCACCCCCTCTCAGCCAATAAATAGTTGAAAGAGGTTGTTAGCGATAACGAGGATTAGAATTGTGATAAGGAAGAGGAGCAGGTATTTCAAGAATTTATTAATGTTGCGGTCAGAGCGTATGTATCATATTAAATTCTATAATGGATCATGTCACGAATAGTGCGACTGGCACAAATATCATTGAGAAATAATCTATTTTGAAGCTAAGTGATAATTTTAGGGTGTGAATTGTGATTCAGTGTCAGTTTGAGATAATCATTTCTTGTCCTGAGTGGATAAATATTATGGCTGGGACTAAACTTACAGTGAAGCTACATGCAATAATGTTTCTTATGTACAGGGCATATATTTTGCTTTTATAAATGCTGAAGGTTGTTACAATGATTGGTAGCATGAGTATAAATAGTGTGAGTAATGTGAAGGCTGCAAATATGTTTATTACTTTTATTTGGAGTTGCACCAGTGTTTTGGGTCCTAAGACCAACGGATTACTTCTATCCTTTAAAAGTTTGAAAAAGCCATACTGTTAGATATGGTAGCATGAATTAGCAGTTCTTGCATGCTTTTTCGGTAAGTAAAGAGTTCTCATCTCTTATTGCTAGATCCACAATCTAGTGTTTTTCATAAATTATATTTACAGTACATGAAGCCCATGATGATCTTAGGGTTAAGTGATAGTATTAGTGGGCGTAGCATGTGCAGGGCCATGAGGGAGTTTTCTCGTGTGAATGTCAGTTTGATGTTACTAATATGATAAATATATTTGCCCCATTGTGTTATAATGAGCATGTATAGGGAGTATAGAGCTGTAATTTATCACATTGGCCCCTATTAAAATGATTGTGATATTAGATCATGAAAATGAAGATATAATTACAAATAGTTCCCCGATTAGCTTGTCTGGGGGGGGCAGGGCCAAGTTAGTAAGGCTTGCTAGCAGTCATCATATTGCCATTAATGGAAGAAATGTTTGTAAGCCCCATGCTAGAATTGTTGTCCGGCTATGGGTGCACTCGTAGTTTGTGTTAGCCAGGCAGAAGAGTATGGAGGACGTGAGTCCCTGGGCGTCTATAAGGATGGTGGCTCCCATGTAACTTCAAGGCGTTTGAATTGAAATAGCTACAATAACCAGGGCTATGTGGCTAACCGAGGAGTATGCAGTGAGTGATTTGAGGTCAGTCTGGCGTAAGCAGATGGAGCTAGTCGTAAGTATGTCTCAGAGTGACAACATTAAGAACGGGTATGCTATGTACTCTGTTAGAGGATTTAGGATAGCTGTGATTTGTAGCATGCCGTAGCCCCCTAGTTTGAGTAAAACTGCAGCTAGGACTATAGACCCTGCAACTGGGGCCTCTACATGGGCTTTAGGGAGTTAGAGATGTAGTCCATACACGGGTATTTTCACCATGAAAGCTATTATGCATGCTAGCCACAGTAGTTCAGTATTGCATGATTAGGAAATTTAGGGAGCCCGTTGTGTTTTGAATATAAACAAGTGCAACCAAAAGTGGTAAGGACCCTGCTAGTGTATAAAACATAAGATAAGAGCCTGCGTTTAGTCGCTCCGTTTGGTTACCTCATCGGGTAATAATGATCAAAGTGGGGACTAGGGTTGCTTCAAACAATACATAAAACATAATTAGTTCTGATGCAGTGAATGTCATGATTAGGAAAGCTTGGAGTAGAACCAGTATAGTGTAATACATGGTTTTTTTCGTGTTACAGGCTCTTTAGATAGGTGGGATTGGCTGGCGATAAGCATTAGAGGCAATAGTCATGTTGTTAGGGCTAGTAAGGGTGCTGATAGGGAATCTGAAAAGAACATAAGTGAGAAGTTGGTGCTGTTGTTGCTACACTGGTTGAGTAGGAAGAGGCCGATAAGGCTAATTAGTAGGCTGTGCCTAGTGGAATTAATTCAGATTATGCTGTTTTTTGACAACCAAGTTAGGGGAATTAGTATAATGGAGGGTAAAATGACTTTTAGCATTGTAAAAGGTAAAGATTTTGTACATAATCTGTACCATATGTGTTTGAGATTATCACTAACAAGGCTAGGCCCAGTGTGGCTTCGCATGCCGTGAATACCAGGAGAATAATAGGTATTATGGTGGCCAGGGTGAGGTGTGTATTTAGAATTATAAGGGATGCTAATACAAAGAGTGAGAGTATTACACCCCCTAGGCAGAGTAAGGAGGATATTAAATGAGATCAATATATTATTAAAAGCCAACAAGGGGTATAATAAGTGCCAGGATGATATTCATAATACACTAAAGACATTTGATAATTATGAATTTAATCACAATCTAATGAGTCAAAATCATTAATCTTATTTAAACTGATTATCATATTCAGTGCATTCTAGCCCCCTTTGGGTTCATTTGTAGGTGAGGCTAATTGCCAATAATGAGATGAGGAGAAGAGCTATAGCTAGCATGGTATATAAATAGTTTGGGATGCTCATGGCAGAGGTAAGAGGAGTGCAATTTCTAGATCAAAGAGAAGAAATGTAATAGCGATTAGGAAAAATTTTATAGAAAAAGGTAAGCGTGCTGACCCTATAGGGTCAAATCCACATTCATAGGGACTTGTTTTTTCTGCATAAACGTTTAGCTGAGGGAGTCAGAATGCAATTAGTACTAGAAGTGATGCTAGGACAGTATTTGTAAGCAAGGCTAGTATGAGGTTAATTATCCTTTTTCGGGACTTTCCAAATTTAACTGATTGGAAGTCAGTTGTACTAATTAATACTAAAAGGACAAGATCCTCATCAATAGACAGAGACATAAAAGAACAGTCACACGACATCTATGCAATGTCAATATCAAGCAGCAGTTTCAAACCCGAAATGGTGGCTAGATGTGAAGTGGAGTTTTAGTTGTCACAGAAAGCACACGGCTGGAAAAGTAGACCCAATAATGACATGTAGGCCGTGAAATCCAGTGGCCACAAAAAAGGTGGGTCCATAGACGCTGTCTGAGATTGTGAAAGGTGCCTCATAATACTCTTGAGGCCTGAAGTAGTGTGAAGTATACCTCTAAGGCGATCGTAATAGACAGGGCTTCCAGCATGTGTGCCCGGTTGCCATCTGTTAGGCTATGGAGGCCTCAGGTAATCGATACTCCAGAGGCCAACAGGACAGAAGTGCTGAGGATGGGGACTTCCAGTGGATTTAGGGGATGAATACCTGTTGGGGGCAGCATACACCTAGTTCGGGAGTGGGGGCGAGGCTTGAGTGATAAAAGGCTCAGAAAAACCCGGTAAAGAGTAAAACCTCTGAAATAATAAAGAGGACCATCCCATGTCTTAAGGCTTTTTGGACAGCCGGGGTGTGGTGTCCTTGGAATGTGCTTTCTCAGGTAATGTCTCGTCATCGTTGGTGTATTGTTAGTACATTTGTAATTAGGCCTAGCGACAATAGGAGGCCTGAGTTGAAGTGGAATCGTATAGTTAGGCCGGATGTTATTAGACGGGTCGATAGGGCACCCGTAAGGGGCCAAGGGCTGGGGTTTATTAAGTGGTATGCGTGGCCTTGGTGGGTCATTAAGTATTATTGAGCAGGTACAGGCTCATTACTAGAGTAAATACATCGGCCTGAATAAGGGCGACAGCAAATTCAAGAATTGTTAGTAAGACC